GATTTTTGGTCTCCTCTGCTTACATTTCTGAGCATGGAACTGTATCCTGTAAGTGTATGGAGCCCAAGAGGTCTACCCAAACCAGGACAGAGTTTATGCCATGAATCCATGAATGAGAACAGTGTGGATAAAGAAAGCCCCTGACTTCTCTGCTATACTCACTGGGAATTTAGCCTCTGCAGACTTAGAGGAGACTGGAAAGACTGGCCTACCCCTTCTCATGAGATATCCTATCTGTGGACTGTGAGCTAAGGAAAGGAGCCATTCTCCTGAGAGTGCTTGTACAGAATGTGTCTGTGGGGAGGATTCTGGTAGGAAGGAATGTGGGAGCCAGCCATCACCAACCAGCCACAGAACCCTACTGATCACACCAGTTTAGAAATCTTTTAAGTAATTATCTCATCTGGTATGTGGTCTTAGGATGCTTTGGAGAATCTTCCAGTGGAAGGGGGGGGGGTATTGGAATTTGTTTGCTTTTGTTTTGTTGTCACCCTAATTTTTGAGCAATTATGCTTGTCTCTGGGAGTGAAGCTCCTGGAATTTTGTTTTCAGCAGACTGTGCCAAAGGAAAGTCTCTGGTCCCATCACATAAGGGATCCCATCACATAAGATAAGGAACTTCAGTTTCCTTATCACAAATGACAAAAATTCTCACACAAGTCAGGACCCAGTGGCCCTGAGGCCACTCCCTCTTCTCCCTTTTTGCATCTCACTTTGAGAAATTACAGAGGTCCTAGCTGAATAAAGGTGCCTGCCCAGTAATGTGTTGTAAGAATTTAAAACTGCAGGAATGTATTTTAAGTAAAATGAAGAATATATTTAGAGACTATAAAAATGTGGTCTTCAGGCCTAAATCAGGATTCTTTAGAAGTTTGACTCATGAGAAAAACAAAATCAGAACCAGCATGACTCAGGATCTCCCCCTCTCCGTCCCTCCTTTTCCTATCTTACCCTCTCCTACTTACTTCCACCCTCCATTTTGCTAACCTATGAGAATTATTAAACAGAAATCAAAGAGTTGAATAATTAAGATCATGGGATTCAGGAAGTCTATATTAAAATGTTAAAATGCATAAGAACCAATAATCTCTTTGAGCTGTTCTTATATACCAGTCTAAGTCATGGAATGATTTTCCCTTTTTATTTATTAAGAAACCAAAAGCTATTTCTAGAGTCATTCATTCACTCTTTTATTTATTCATTTAATGAGCATGACTTAATACCTAGTAACCGAAGGGTAGTTTGCTAGGCACTTGGTCACTGGTTTGGATTTTAAAACATGAGAGAGGATTTCAAGAGTGAGCTAATCAGCATATGCCTTGCCAAACAAAAATACATCCTTGTTATTTTTATTCAAATTTTACAGAGCTTATTTACCTTCTCATAAAACGACCAGAAAGAGCACTATGAATGGGATCCCAACAAACTCTAAGTTAGACTGACTTTTGACTTCCCCTGGTAACAGCTTTAGATCTGATCATTCATAAGTAGTATCTTGTTTTCATCATCTCATGCAGGTCATCTTCTAAAGTTGGTGCATGCAATTCTAGTACCTCTTTGATATTCTTAAAAGATCTAGAAGCAAAAAGAGATAAATTATAAACAACTACAATATAATTCACCCCAGGCATGCTTATTCAAGGAGAGAATGCAGTTCCTGAAAAAAATCCCAACCTGAAAATTCTATTTAAAACCTAAAATACCTTGTTTTGTTTGAGAGTTTCATACATGCATATATTGCCTTTGAATAAAATCCACCCACCTTTCCCTCCCCTCTGCCCCCAACCCCCATCACTATTCCTTCCCAAGTTCATGTGCCTTTTATTTATTTATTTATTTATTTATTTATTTATTTATTTAGATTTTTGGGGACAGGGTTTCTCTGTGTAGCTTTGGAGCCTATCCTAGCACTTGCTCGGGAGACCAGGCTGGCCTCGGACTCACAGAGATCCACCTGCCTCTGCCTCCCAAGTGCTGGGATTAAAGGCGTGCACCACCAACACCCAGTGTGCTTTTTATTTTTAACCAGCTTTTTAAACCCTGCTTTGCTGGGGCATGGATAGCCTCTCAGGGACTCCATCCTTGAAGGTAACTGATTCTTCCTCACCTAGGAGCTATTAGTTGCCAAAAGCTCTACAGCAAATGGCAGAACTTCATGGACCCTCCCCGTCCGTGCTAGAATTTTGGTGGATTGCTCTTATGCAGGTCTTGTGCACTAGTCATAGCCACTGTGAGTTCATGTGCACAGTGGGCCTGCCATGTCAGGAAAACAATTTTGCTATGGGTATCCACTATCTCTGGCTCTTTCATTTTTGTTTTTCCCATCTTTGCTGAGCCAAAATAACCCTTTTTATAAAGAGATCAGATACTTAGAGTAGGGTTTAAAGAAATTAATTACCCAATAAAACAAAATGATGCAATTAAAATTTGAATCTGATAATAGGATAACATTTTGTAGTTTGGACTATGAGATTGTATCATATTGATTACTAAATGCAAACTGAATGCAAACTGTGTGCAGTATTAGAAAAGCATGTTTCCTGCTTTTAAGAAACAAGTCTTAGACATAACTAATGATCATGTACGTTAGAAAATATTTGTTATAATAGAAGATAATGATGCCATTTAAGAGGGAGAAGAAAGAGATTTTTTTCCTGTTAGGGAGGACTGGAAGAGGTTTCATAATGGAAATGGTGGGGTTGTAGGATTGAAATAAAACCCACCCAAGCTCATTTCAGTCTTCCTGCAGAGGCCAGCCAAAAATCCCCTGGTTCAGAACTGTGAAAGGGGTGTTGAGAAAGGAATAATAAAGCTAAATGAAATCCCCAAATTAGCAACACAAGTTGAGAGTTCATTTTTAATCCAACGGGAAACCACTGCAGAGTTTTGAAAGAAAGGTTAGTTATCAAAGTTGTGTTTTGGATTATTCTGACACTGTGTATAAATTAGACTTTTTAAATACTATGGGTAGGGGGCAAGAAAGGGCTCAGTGGGCAAAGGAACTTGCTGTCACAGCTGATTAGGTTTGATCCCAGCGACCCTCAGGGTGAAAGCAAAGAACCAGCTCATGCAAGTTATTCTCTGACTTTCATCTGTGTGCACTACAGTCCACACACACACACACACACACACACACACACACACACACACACACACACACACCATGAAAACATTTTTGATGATTAAAAATATAGCAGAGATTGAAGACCAATATAATGGCCATTGTGATACTGGGCCAGGTGCCAGGAAACAAAGAAGGAAAAATCAAAGGAGATTGCGGCTCAATAAACATAAAACAACAGAGGGGAGCAGAAGGGGTAGAGCTCAAAGACTGGTGTCAGCAGTAGTAGGGTGCACGCTGCTTTGAGTTTAAATGTCTATGTGCCAAGGGGATTGGCAATGCCCTTAAACTGGGAGAAGAAACAGGAAGATGAGGCTTACAGAAGAAGAGAGAAGGTTTCACTTATGCAGTAAATATTTACTGGGCTCATACTGGGTGCCAGGCACTGTTTGGGGCAGAGTGGGGTGGATAGTGTAAGAGTTACCTTTAATTTTAAAGTATTTGATGTGAAAGAGACTCTGTTCCCAGTCTGTGTGACTCCAAAGCCAGAGCTGGAGTCAGACAGTGGGAGTCAGGTAGGAAGTGAAATAGCTTTCTAATGGACGGTGGCTTTGGCTGGGCAGTAAGAGCCCTGTCATAGGCAGCATTCAAGAACTTGGTGGCCTTCCAGGAACACTGGGACAAAAGTCCTTCCTTGGGACGGGGGCTAGACTAGCCTTTCTGACAGCTGTCTTCTTCTAGTCTCATGAGTCTCTTCTCAGATGAGGTAGTTCTGCAGGTTCTATTATTAATCTGTGGTTTCTCTCAATTATTAAATAAATTACTCAGTCTGTCTGCCATTCAGTAAAACTCACACATTTACATCTGTTATTCTTGAATTATTTTTGGTTAGGGCTCTTCTTCTTTATTAAAAGAAAAATTCTACCCAGTTAATGTTACCTTTATAGATATTTTAGAATGGGATGCCTGGTAGATAGGGTTATAAATACCAGAGGGGGGGAAGGCTTTTCTTGTGCCTAATAGTGTTGCTATTTAGAATGAACAGGGAATAAATTATCTTGACTTGTAGATTATGATGCAGCTTCTATATGTTGCAGTAATTCAAAAAATTAAAAAAAATAAAAACAGAGAGGTTCACTTTGATACTGCACGGTAAGGAAAAAGAATAATTACACTGTGAGGCTTTTCATCAGAAACACTTCCTTCCAGTGCATTTTAAAAGGGAGAAAGGCAAGGAAGGAAGGGGGAAAGAGAACCCGTAGTGAGCCTTGTTGTGAGCTGTAGTTCAAGCTCCGAGTTTCCTAGTGTCTTTTGAAACGTAAAATCCCACAACAAATAGCTCGGTAATGTATAACCAGGACGAAGATTCAATTCCGATTTAAGCACTTTGGTTTGCTTTTGAGTCTTGCTATTTTCTGCATTTGTTTTGACTGCTCTCATCATTCAAGATTGACGCTTGGATGGGTGTGTAGGAGGCAGCAGCAGCAGCAGGCTTACAGCTTGCAGACAAAAAAAATCTGCCTTATCTGATGGCTATTATTGAAAATGCGAGGTGTAGCCTGGGCTGGGTAATGAAGGGGAGCGAGCGAGGGGGAGCAAGGAGCATGGAGCTGCATACTGATGAGTGTAGGAGTACTTGATAAAAAGAATTCTGGCTGCTGGCCGTGCATTGCTCATTGTGGAGTACTCCAACAATCACATAGAACGCAGAGCAGCCTAAGCTGACAGCTTGATATACCTTCTTCTCCTGCCTGCTTTTGGGGCTGTGTGACGCACTGGTCGGTAGTAAAGGTTAATATGTAAGGCATGTGGAGCTAGGATCAAGTCATACTCCACAGCCTGCCTGGCAAACTATGTGTTACTTCTGACTTTGCTCTCTCGCTGAGAACATTAATCTGTCAAGCTGGCGGGCTCCTTCGATAACAACTTTCCCCGGAGCATGATGTGGCAATGCCACCTCTCAGCCCAGGACTACCGCTATTACCCCGTGGACGGCTACTCCCTGCTAAAACGCTTCCCTCTTCATCCTCTTACAGGACCCAGATGCCCTGTGCAAACAGTGGGACAATGGTTGGAAAGCATTGGGCTACCTCAGTACGAGAACCACCTGATGGCTAATGGATTTGACAATGTACAGTTTATGGTAAGATGCTCTCTGTGGTCATGGAGCTGCCTTTTGTCTGTCTTTGCTTCTTATGTGTCTTACATGGCTCAGAGGCAGCCTGATTTGCACGGAAATGGATCAGCTTTTTATATATGTAACTGCATCAGGAATTTGAATGCCTTTAGAACGGAACTTACTGTGTGCATATAGACACCGACTAGAAAATGGGATCTATATGCATCCTTTAGACATGTGTGTTGTATGAATTGGTGAGAGCTCTATTTATAGGCTCTGAAAGAAGATTAGCATTTATATTCTCCCTGTCATTCTTTGTGTGATTTTTTTCATTTAAATTTATGATCTTAACATACGATTATATTATGCCTCGCTTCAGGTAATCCTAGATTCTGGTGATAGGTTATTTCACTTGGACATCAGCATTATGATTAATTAGGTAATCTGCTATGTTGATGGTATGAGGATCGTTTTTCCTGCTAATCATTCAATAAGCAGTTTAAACCCTGTGAACGGCCCTTCATTAGCTAGCTACTTCAGCTGGTCGATTAGCGAGAGTATGTGCTTCCTTCCACATGCTGACTGAAGAGCGATGAAGTATTGTTTGTTACTTTCGGTGAAAATCAAACACTTGGATCAGTGAGTTGTCAGTGTATAGAAAGGGACTGATGTACCAAATGCATTAGTGTACTTCCGAGTCCTGGTCTATGTGCAGACTAAACTGGCCGTGTGCAAACTTCTCACTGTGCTTATAAAGGTGAGGAGGAGGATGGGAGGGGTGCAGACGACAGTCTAGTTTCTAATCATTCTGAGACCTCCCCTAGTGCTCATGAGTTCCCCATGTTAAGCTACGTTACAGCCCTTCTCACCTTTCCTTGTTTTAAAGGTGCCACCACACATATCACTGGTCCCTAAATTTAGGGAGACCTCCATGTCATAAGCATGTAGCCCACAAACTGCTTGTAGAAATACTTAATGGATCCTCTGGAATAAAATGCTGGGCTGACACCTACAGCATGATCATAAAACACTGAGGGCTACTCAGGTCCTTTCAGTTCCCTTTGCAAGATTGTTTCTGTCCAAACTTGGCAGAATTATTATAGATTTGAAGGTTATTAAGATTGTTAAACTTCTACAAAAATGCGTATGCCTACAAGCTTTTTAAAATGCTCAAATGTGGCCCACCCTATGAGCTTTAAATAATAAATGCATAAAACCCCGTATGGGTATCTTGTTTTGTTTTTTTTTTTTAATAATGAGCTATGCATTTTTTCTTGTGTCCATCAGTCACTGGTTTTACAGCCGATTCACTGTGGGTGTTGAAATAGGATGGAAGTAGAAGTTAAGACTTACTTGGGGCAATAAACAGATGTTGTTAGTAATTAGAGGGACTAGCAAACAGAATGAATGTCCCTTCAGCATTACTTATGTTGTCTGCACATCTCTGCATCTCTACTCTTTCCTCCTGTCTCCTGCTGAAATGGGTACCTCATTCCCAAGCCATTGTCCAAATTTATTCTGGCCCATGAGAAGCTGGGCTTTAGATTCCCTGAGTTAATTGGTCACACTGAAGGACTTTAATTCAACCTAATTTTCCCCTGAATATTAAACACCTAGGAGCAAATGTAATCCCCCTTTGAAAGTATTTAACAAGAAGGTAATCACACAGGTTTTGAAGAATTTGAAGAGAGAGGGTGAAGAACAGTTGGGTATGAATTGTGTACAAAATGTATCCGAAAGGCAAAAACCCCAAACACAGTGGGAAGGTCAAAGTCTAATCATAGATTGTGGTTTTACCTGTTTATTTCCAAATATTGCATGTAATCTTCCAGAAAATAAGAGCACCTTGTTAATTCAGACAAGCCAAAGACTTGCATCATGAGACAGAATTTCTAAACAAATCAGCTTTGATTTGCCATGTAGAAGGTCTAATTAATTGTGAAAATGTAGTAAATTATGAAATGGTGTCATCAATTAGTACATTACATGCTATCACACCCCATTTGTTAGCTACCAGCATTGTAATGAAAGAGTGTCTCTATTTATGATTATTTATTGATTGCCACAGTCTACTTAATGTTGAACTTAAGCATGCAGTGATTGTCCCACTTTAAGAAACAAATTTCATTAATGTAAAATTCTGTTACACCTGCTCAGTTTCCGTTGGATATCATAGTCCAGCTTTTGGTTTTTTTCTTGTAGCACATTCTGACCTGCATTTATTCATTCTGTTGCCTAAGCAACAAGCACCACGCTCCCATTAACTATGATGTAGTGTAGGTCTTATTAGCTTTTTAGAAGAAGACAGAAGACATCAGGAGGATATAATTAATGTTGGTTAAATGTTGCAATACATCCATGCATGCACTTTGTTGTGGAAACATTCTCCAGAGCTAATATTTCATCTAATTGATATTCTATTTATGAATTAAGTTTAAAGTTTTCTTATAAATCACTTTTGAAGAAAGTATTATTGACAGTCTAATTTTTTTCCTAAATCTGTTCTATATACTCTTAAGCATAAACACAATATTTATTGGTTGATTTTTATCTCATGGCAATCATTAGCTTTAGTAAAGATCTCTTAATAATGATTCCTGAACATGATTAGGAAAGAAGGAAGCTCCTCTCCACATGCTTTTGATTGTTTATCAACTGCTCTCACTTCTCCTTCAAGCTCTTAATACTTATCCTAGATTTTACAGATGTAAAATTGTTTCTATATCTTTAAAGACAAAATTATATACTTTTGTTCCATGCATTCGTCCTGGTTTGTACAACTTTGTGGAAACAGATCCAGAGTGTCCTTAAGTATATAAAATGAATAGAAACTGGTACAATTCAAGAAGGACTACAGCAGTTAAGACTTTGGGAAAGTCATGTGTGTTTTGACATCAGAAGCCCTTTCACAAGTCATGTGTCTGAAGTCTTCCCTAGTCCCGCCCTGCTTGTTCCTCTAAGGACATATATCACATCCGTCTGCTCTCAGCATAAACATAATCTACGTGCTTCTCACCAGACCTGGGAATGCTGTAGGGGTCCCCTGAGCCTTGTGAATTTCTTCAGTCTTTGCAATGTATGTAACAAGACTTAGTTTTAATGTTGCTTATTTTTCCCAGCAAGGGGTTTACAGCTGTATCAGTTGTTCTGCAGAATGCATTTGCTTATGGTTTTCCTTAATATTTATTGCTACCACCATATTTCTTTTTCTAAGTTAGATGACTGCTCCCTGAGTTGTCAAAGTCTCAAGTCCTCTATCCTTTTCCTATGACTTTTCTCCTGTATGCCCTATCCCTGCTCCTCAGGTACTGTCATTTCCTTTCTTCCCCCTAGACTGTTTTATTCTCAAAGGTCTCCCTGCCTTGCTTATATAATGTTCCTTAAGGACTATTGTCCATACTAGTGTGTCTTCTCTGAATCCATGTAGTGGCTGTATTTTGCAGCCATCATTCCATCTCTAGAGTTAAAAATTAAGTTTCCACTTGTGTATACCTTGTTTTCCTAACTAGAAAAGAAACCAGCAAGCTTTTTTGTGTGTTGATTTCCTTGCTTTTTCTCACAACTCCTAATGTAATGCTATGTACCTAGAAATCCACCTGTAAACACCATATACACAACAAGTTGACATGGCTGGACTTCCAGTCTCATCTGTAAACTAAAAAAGTCATTTTTTGCCCCTGAGAATATGGAGTGCTAGTTGTCTTATTCAGGAATTGAATCCTCTGTAAGTATTTCCAATGTGCTAGGAAGTGTTAAATACTAGGGGCTTAATGATGAACAAAACAAGGCCCTTGCTTCAGTCAGGGTATGCTGTTATCCTGGGTATTTGCTTGTACATCCTACAAACATTCCTTCTTATACATAGTGTATAGTACGGAAATCTTGCCCCTCATCTTTCTGTACAGTCAGCATCACTCAGCAATTTTCCCCCTACATTAAATTATGGTACACAACAGGAAGTGCAAAACATCTGTTGGAGCACAAAGTCAAGGAATATAGAGATAGTGGTAGTATCAATAATACAGCAGATTTATGGTGTGAAGACCAGATTACAAAGCTTGTGGCACTCTGAGGAGGACTGACTCATAGGCTCACTATGCTCACTAACCAACAATACATGTGTAAATTCTAAGGGGGAAAAGAATGAAATTATATTTCATGTCATACTTTCAGTATCTCCTGTTGACCTATTGACTTGGGGTGGTTTAGCTATTTTTAAAATGTTCAGGATGATGTATTTATGGAGTCAATTATAAAAGTAATACTGGAAGCCCCACACAAATTGGCATTTTTGTGAACTTGTGTGGATAGCATTCAAAAGCACTTATTGGAGGTCAACTTGAGCAGTGCCCATTACAAACTGAAGGAGACCCATGGAGCCCTTGGAGGTGATCAATTTGAACAAAAGATATGAGCAACAGAAAGCTGATTAGTACACATTTAACCAAAACTTTTCTCCGGGTTTTGTGGTGCATATTACATGCGAGTGGACCTACAGATCTCTCATACTTAACAGAACTTTGCTGTAATAAGAGGACTGTTTGCAGCTGGTCTGGCAAAATGACCTTTAAGTCTTAGCAAGTCTTACCACTATGCAAGCACGATGAAGTAGAAAAATAAATTGCCCCTGATGGGTAAGACTAACCACTCCCATGATGATTTCTTAACCATGTCACAAGCAAATTTATGAAGTTTCTGAAATTTGAAGGAAATATAAGAGAAAAATGCCCCCTTCCCCCACCTTCTTGTTTCTGGTGGAGCCTTGAGTTGAGTGGGTAGCCGTATTTTGCAAAAGCAGTTATGATTTTCCAGACTCACTTAAAACAGTAACGGTGAACTTGTTCTTACAATAGGTTTTTTTCAACCATTGTCATTTAAAATCTGTTGGTATCTAACAGTTGATGCCAAAGGGAAGCCATTTTTTATCTGGACAACAGCTTAATTACAAATATAAGAGGCAGAGACTTCGGAGGGGTCATGGGGCAGAAGGAAAGGAAGATTTTCATCACCAGTCTTGTCTCCCC